TAGAGTGCGAAAGTTGATTCACGGTAAGCCTCTTTTACTTCAAAGATCAACAGAATTCTCGCGATACCAACAGCAGGGGCTCCACCAGCCATAATGAGACGAAGATATCAGTTTCTACTAGGCATAAGCGACAGCGAACATAATTCCAATTGCCGTACATAAACAAAACACAAAGGTCTCAAATAACCTAAAGGCGCGCTTTACGTTTTGAATATAAATAGGCTCCTTTGTTTTCGGGTTTTGTATTTTTTGAAAAATTGGGAGATGAAAATCGGACGCTTTGTTTCAAGCTGATAGTCGGGAAAAAAATCAGGTTGGTAAAACATTTATTCTGGAATCAAGGTTTTTATTTACCATATTTAGAAATTTATAAGTATAATTAACAGTATGAAAACAAGGATCCGTTTTAATATAATATTTATTTTTGACATTTTCACAATCAAGTCATTAAGATACACAAGATTGAATTGTAACCTGGGATTAGAGCTCATTTAGGCTTTTCGATTTTTCATGATCCTTGTTGCTTACATCATTTTCTGCATGAGCAGAATCTCGGTTTTCATCCCAGTCCCATCTGACTTTTGGACATATCTGAATTGGAAAAACAATATCTCAACATCACCGCTTACGGGCACTTTTTCAATGCACAATATCAATTCAGTTCGACATAAACAAAGTATCTCCTGTATCTTTCGAAACAAAATTTTAAAAGTAATTTCTCATATATATAAATATATGTATATATATATATATATATATATATATAAAAGCTAAATTTTGGGGATTGATTTATGTCACTGCAGTTCACTGAAGCTAAAAGAATCTAGGTTCGTTCCCGAGGCCTGAAGCTAGCGCACGTGTTCCGACCGGCCCTTTGGTTCCTAGAAGATATTTTCGAAGGAGATCAAATTGGAAAATGGTAAAATGCAATTTTATAAATTGTGAAAAAATTAGGTTTAGCTCAAATTTCAAGAAACCTGTTCGGGGTGTAAATACCATGAAATATCAGGTTTTACTCGGAAACGAAGGCACCTAGATATAAGGCGATATTACTTCTCCCAGTATCTCTCATTTGTAGTCAGTTGAATAACATCTTGAGGGCCTTGTGGCGTATGTATTCATTTATTTATTGTACCCTCAGGGCCAAAGGCACTACAGAGGGAAGTGGTAAAATATAAAACAATAAAAAACACATTAACAAACATTAAACATTTGGAAACATGTGTTTACTAACACTTCAGCAAAAAAGCACTATCAAAAACTGATGCCAATGATGAAGGTAAATGCTTCCAGTCGTTTGACACTTTTAGGATGAAAGATGCGTAAAATATGTTATAGCGACAAAATGGGACGCCAACCTTGTAAAAATGATCGAGGCGAGAAGAAGAAAAAAATTGTGGGGTTATTAGCTGATCTTTTAGTACGGGTTGGTGATTAATATTTTGTGAAAAAGGCAGACGCTAGAGATGCTGCGGTGATATTCGAAACCATGTAGGAGTAAAGACTTTCTCATTGAAGTAACACTAGCGGTACGATGATAATTTGCCAGAATGAAACGCACTGATCTATTTTGTACAGCCTCAAATGATTCAGTAAGGTCATTTGTTCCAGGACTCCAGATGGAGGCCCTATATGAGCTTTGATCTGACTAATGTTTTATATAGAAGTGGTTTCATAGATGAAGGTATTAGATATGTTATTTTTAAAATAACTGAGCATCTGGTTAGCACTGTTAATTATGTGAGAAGCATGAAGGTTCCAGGAAGGATCGCAGCTTAGGATTACACCGAGGTTCTTGTAAGATTTTACAAGTTCTAATGCAGCGTTGTAAGGCTATAAGTGGCAATAAATACAGACTTTCGGGTCACTCGCATTAGTTTGCATTTGTTAATGTTTAGTTCCATAGACCAGAGTTTACACCATTGACAAATAGAATCCTGATAATGCAGCAGCTGTTGGGATAGATATTATATGTTATTTAGACAATATTTGGTAAATGACACAGCTGTCAGCAAACAATCTGATCTTGGAGGAAACAATACTTGATAAGTCATTAATAACGAATGGAGAGAGTAGAGGACCTAGGTGGAACCTTTGGGTACTCTGGAGGAAACAGGTGTGAAAGTGGAGACGTACGAATTTGGAACGATTAGTCAAAAAAAAGCTTTTATTCAACTAAACACGCTACGATTAATGTTAATCTTATTTAGCGTATGTAAAAGGAGCTTACGTGATACCTTATAAAGAGCTTTTGCGACCTTTAAAAATGCAGTCCATTTGGAGTTATTTTATCAAAAAGCTGCATGAAAATCCTTAGTAGTGGAGAGGAGCTGCGTTTCGCATGAAAATGTTTTATAGACCCACGTTGAGCAGAAGAAAGAAAAAGGTTAGATTTCAGAAACCCAAAAGGTTGTGAATAGATGATATGTTCTAAAATTCTACAAGGAATGCTGGTTAGTGAGATGGGTCTGTAGTTGAGAGGAAAGTCCTCCACCAGCTTTACAATTTTCCAGTCGCCAGGAAGAGAAGACGTATAAACGTCTGTTAAAATATACGTGCAGAAATGAAAAAGGAGCATTGGTTTGTTCGTAATATTTCATTTAAAGTTAATTTCATCGACACCAGTTTCAGAAGTCAACTTAAGACAGCTTATGATTTTTTTTTTAAATGCCGTCTAATAACGATATGGTTCATCAATGGAATACCGTTAACCAGATAAGGCGGCTCTGTAGTGTTGAAGGAGTTTGAGAACTATTTTATGAATACTTCATTAATAACGGAAGCACACAGTGAGCTGTCCATCTGACTTTCATTATCTGTTAGAAGTGAAATAAGAGGTGGCTTGTCGTGGCAAGATACCATAGTCCAAAATGGTCGCGGTTGCATTCTAACATTATAAATAGTTTAGTTGAAGATTTTTTTTTTTCATTTTCTGCTGTTTTTCGCAGTCTTTGGCAGCAGAAGAGTATTTCTGCCAGCGAAATCACATAACGTTCCCCTGGCGGCTCTAGATAGGCGTTTCTTTTTATTAGATAATCTTAAGTGCCCTGTTGAACCACGGGGACTGAAAATCTGGAATTATTATCTTCGAAGGAATGCATATTTTTGTAAGTAATATGATTTTATCTCTAAAAAGTGTTCAATTGATCTCGACGGATCAGTCCCAGACATTTTCGAAATATGGATCGAGGAGAGCACCCAATTCAGTATTAATCGCTTCAAAGTTGGCCCTGGGCATAGTTGCGACGAACTTTTTCCGATTATTAGAAGAGGTCAAAGGAACGCTCAGTGAGAATTACAGTAAGGAGTGATCACTGAAAACAGGAAGGTGAGTGAGGGAACCAATCAGATCAGGAGCAGTAGTTAAAATAAGATCTAAAATGTTTAATGTAGTAGAGTTGATTCTGGTCGGTGAAACAACTAACTGTGATAAATGAAATTCGGCAAGCACACGCAAAAGGTTTGTGCTTTCTGCTGAGGATGGATCAGGAAAGGGGGACTCGAGCGCCACACTATATTAAAGTAGTCGAAATGACCCATTAACAGAAGTGGTGTATTAGGAAAACAAATTAAAATGGTATTCAGTACGTCACACAGTTTATCAGCAAAGACAACATTGCTTGAAGGTGGACGATGACAGCATCCCAGGATTAGTCAAAGATGCTGAATGGTTGATACACGCAGAAATGGCTTCAAGAGGACAACTGATATTTACAAAGAAAGACGGGATACTCTCTAATGGCGATAAGCACGCCACCGCTACTGCGTTGTTTCCTGTCCTGCCGACACGTTTTGGAGTTCCTTTTTTTTATTTTTTGCCAAGGAACAATTCGGCGTCTTTAAATTTTGCCGAGATCCAAGTTTCTATTGTTCCTAATGGCCGGTAACATCGTACCAGTGTCACGAGATGTAGAGTCTGTCAAGTTACAACTCTAGCGAGCACAACATAAACACTTCTTGCTTTATCTCCCCATTGTTTCAGTGCCGTTAAACAAAATGCCACCCTTAAGTGCCCGGTAGCACTGCCATCAAGCGGACGTCCTTAGAGCAGTTTGAAAGCCTCGCCATTTTACGAACGTTGCTTGCCGACAGTGGCGTTCGTGGTTTATTAATTATCAGTTTTCAATGACGCAATATGTTTTCCTCAAAAGTGTTCCTTATTAGTTGCTTACATTGGAAAGGCCTAGGGCTGTTCGTGTGTCGCCTTCTCTCTGTTTTATTCTTTCTGCTAGAAGTTACCAGCAAATTTTTTTTTTTTTATTGTGACAACGAGCAAAACAATTTTCAACGGCTGTTGTTCTCACTAGAGCCATTCAATAAGGTATATGCTTTAAAGTAACTCCTCTTTAGCCATCTTGGTACTTTAAATAATTGTTTACACTTGTTTGAAACTTTATCTGAAATCGCAGTAACGGCTTTCTGTCCGTCAGAAAAATTAGAACACTCCGCGACAAAGCAAGACGGTATCTCCGGAACTTCATGACGTCGATCCTTTTTTTTTTTTATTTATAAATACTACCAGCTTCCATTGAAAACTTTAGCAGGGTGGTTACAAGGTAAAATACAAGTTACATAGTTCGTAGTGCATGATTGAAAAAAGTGAGGGAGGAGGATGGGGCTACTCAGTGGAGACACAGGAGGATACTAATACAATGCTATACACAATTCCCCAGGAAGTCGCTTTTTTTTTTTTTAATTTGACTATTGTCGGTAGCGTTCGCTTTACACTAAGCACAAAAATGGCGGCGTCCACGAGAAAATCTGGGAATTGAGTGCCGATACTCCAAGCGTAGCTTGTTAGTGGCTCTAGTGTTCCCTACAATGATGTTGGGGCAGATAAAAACAAAAAGAATCAAAATAATAATAAATGCACTCAACAGTATATTACTCTGAATCTATGACTGCCACTGCGTCGTCTTTTCGTGCGCTTTTACATTCAGAAAGCACGAACCCATTCGTTTAATGAATCGCTCTTACGCTGTTTCCTGCTTGCTCTCCAGGCCTCGCCATGAGTGACACCAGCGACATGAACTCGGACGAGCAGTGCAAGTCGAGCGGTAAGAAGAGCAACAAGGACAAGAAGACCCAGAAGAAGGCTGAGAAGCAGCAACTGAAGGAACAGCAGCAACGGAACTCAGTCGCCGAGGACCTGGCCGACCCCATCAAGGAGTTCATGCAGCCCGAGGAAGAAGAAAACGAGGAGTTGCGCAACAAGGCCATCCAGGCTTTCCGGGAGTGGGTGCTGCAGCAGCCTCACTTCGTCAACCCCAGGACTGGTGAGGAATCGTCGGCGGGACAGGGTGCTGTTCTTAGGTTACAAGTTTAATCCCAAGGCACTTCTAACTTAGATATGTGTATTATATATATATCTGTATTTCCATTTCATGTACGTGTATGAACCAGAGCCAGCCAAATTAATTGCAAGTGGCGCCAACATGCGTCCTGCGCTATTTATAGGGGCGATATGAGATGTCATATTTTATGGCAGACCAACCTGCCATTGTCTATAAACGTCCATATGACTCTCTTCATCTCATTTCAGGCTCGGTTATAGGTTCAGAAATATTATTTTTGACCAAAAAATCTATACTCATTGGGCGTATTCTTGAAATGAAATAGAGCGCGAACGGCAAGCTTAGTGGATCTTTGTTATTGATCATTGAAGCGTCCGAGGCGAAAAGTGACGTTTCTCCGACTTGTTGGATATTGGATGTTGGACCGCTAGCTATTTTGTCACTTCTCAAAATACTGCTCAGGATTCTTTTTGTGACATTCTCGAAAAAGCTTTCGTTATGCCTAATAAATTCAAAAAAATCGTATATCTTGAAAAATATATGGAAAAAAATATCCAACTGTTTACCTTCCGTGATGATTGTTCGCAAAGTTTGGCAAGTTATTACGTGTGACCTATTTAAGAAAATTTATTGGCTTTGGCATCACCAGTAAGCTCAAACCTAGTTGTCTTTTTTATTGAAGACAACTTTAATAATATATGTACAAAATACAATCCGTTAAATACAATTGAATGAACGACTGTTTCAAAAATCAAGCGGACTCAGAATCAATTTTCTTGAAAGCCCAATTTTTATTCAACTTATTTTTTTTATTAGTAGCAATGTATCACTCTGGTTTATTAGAAAATATAAGCATAATATAGAGTGTTTTGTTAGTGCAACCGTAATTAAAGCTTGAATCTTTCTCAGACGCGTTGTAAAATGACAAGCCTTGTTGCGTAGATAAATAACTTTTACTCAGCATTACACGCAATTTCAGTTCTTTTTTTTTGTAAGCTTACATGCTGAATAAAATATTAATATGAGGTAATTCATACATCTACGCCACAATGTTGGCCATGATAGAAACTATGCGAGAATGCAGTCACAACGAACAACTGACAAGATTCAAGCTTTAATTGCGGTCATAAAACAAAATGCTATTTATATTAGCTGACAATCTTGCTACCATAAAGACACAAATCAAATTTTAAAAAAAACTGTCAAATCGCTCCAAAGTGTTTTGGAATTCATTAGCATTTGTTTGTTCAAATATGTGTAACATATCTTATTTTAAACATATATTTAGTCTGTATTCAATAGATATAACTAAGTTCGAGCTTTCCGTTGATGCCAAAGTCATTGACATTTCTTAAATAGCTGATACATCAAAGATTTCGAAATGTTGCCAAAATCTTCAAAAAAGTTCAATATTATATTCAGGATATATTTTAAAAATAGCATTTATTAATCCATTAAACGTAATAAATATATATATTTAGTGTCACACAAGAGTCCTAGTGCAGTATTTTGTGAACTAACAAAATAGCGAATGGTCAGACATGCGATTCCTGGCAGGTGGCAGAAAACACGTGAGAATCCTTTTGTTGACGTTTGGCAACTTTTGCAAGTTTTTAGGCGTGTCCTATTTAATATAGTTTAATGACTTTGACAGCACAGCGAAACTCCAGCTTAGCTATTTTTTAATATAAGTTCAATATGATATATTTAAAATAAAATGTTACATACAGTAAAGTTTATAAAATTAAAAAAAAATCGAGGGCTATTTTCTAAAACAAAATATATTGTATGTGCTTCGTGGTTTATTGGTAGCAAGGTATAATTGTGGTTTATCTGCAAACATAAACAAAAATATTGTATTTTGTCTGTATGACCCAATTAAAGCTTGAATCTTGTCAGTTAATTGTTCCCTGTGACTGCGTCCTCGCATAGGTGCTATCCTGGCCAAGATCGTAGCGTGGTATAGTTAATTACCTAGTTAATACATTAATTCACACGTAACCTTAAAAATAAGTGAAATTGTTATTCGAAGTAAGACGTTATTTTACTCTGCAACAAAGCTTGCCGACTTCAAAGCACATTTGAAAAGGTTCAAGCTTCAATTGCCCTTATATAAACAAAACACTATATAATATATTTACATTTTCTAATAATCATAAAAGCAAGGTATAAAAATTATACCTTGTTAATATAAGAAATAATGTAAATAAAAAATAATGTTTTTGAGAATATCGATTTCGAACTTGCTAGATCTTCGAAACGTTCATTCATTCAAATGTATGTAACAAGTTGTATTTTGTACATATAATATTGAACTTAAATTCATAGAAAAGAGCTAGGTTTTAGTTTTATGGTGATGTCAAGGTCGTTAAAATATCTCAAATAGGTCACCGAAAGAACTTGCTAAACTTCACTCAAAAATTGTGAAAAAACACAATTCGACGTTTTCTTCTTTCTTTTTTTTTATTTTCAAATACTATACGATATTTTAGGTCCTTAAGCCTAGTGAAATCTACTTTGAGAGTTTCACATAAAAGTATTTGTGCCTTATGTTGAGAAATGAAAAAGCTAAGAGTGCTCACACATGGCGATCCCCGATTCGTGAGATCAACGTCAGCTTTCGCCTCGGTCACTTCAATGGTCAAGACCGCCAACCGGTGCGTGAATTGGGATGAAAACACCCATATATAAAACAAATTTGAACTTTCAGAATGAAATTACAGCGTGCTGCTAAAGTTTAGAAAGACCTTCAGTATAATGGGCGAGATCGTGAATTATATTTATAAAATACTAGAAATTATTTACTCTAAAATGAAAATTATGTCATGAACACTGACACACTCTAAAAAAATTCCGTACTTGAAAAGTTTTTACGCCCCAAGAACTCCTTCAGCTCGTGAAGAACGGTTTCGCGACAAGCACTATCGCACCATGGCGCACTAGAAAGGCCACTGGACGATGACGATCTCCTTCGCATCAAAAAGGAGCTTAAAAGAACCCCTTATAGTTTCTTTTTTACAAAGAACCCTTTTAGGAGGTGCGCAAAAGAACTTTTAATGGTGCAAAATATGGACAAGCCAAAGAACCCCTAAGAATAATTTTACGACCAGGTTTTTTTTGGTTTTTTTAATAAAAAGGCAGAGCGTTTTTTTTTTTCTTCAAATACTCAAACTCCAGCACACGATCATTGCCTTCCGTTGTGCTTTAGCTGCGCCTGCACGCTCGCAGCTCACGGGACGCCGAAGCATTATCCAAGGTAAGAAGCTCGCGGCGGAAGTGGGGCACCCGAACGACCTCTCCCTAGTTCTCACCCTGTCAGTAACTATAGTTTCTTTAAGAAACTATAGTCACACGTCGTTTATTGTTGGTAGGGCGACGAGAATGTCGCATTACTCAGCCTTTCAGCCAATGTCGCATTACTCAGACTATGGCACATTACTCAGCCATTCAAGAACCCGGCCTCCATTATTCGTTTATTTTTTGCCCTAGTTAGGTCTAGGCTTGAGTTCGGTTCTGCGGCCTGGAATTCGTTATCAAGAACACAAGCAATGACCATCGAAAATGTGCAACACAAACTAATACGTATTGCTTATGATCGCTACTTCCAACACCGTTTCTATTTTGACTAAACGGTTTTGCTTAATAAAATTTCGTCGATACCACTGACCATTAGAAACGCAGAGCGCACCTTAGCTGTTCTTCACAAAATTGTAAATAGCGTATTTGACAGTGCTTCGCTTTTACGTGGTATAAACATCCATGTCCCTCCTCGTTCCACTAGGACCCGCAGTACTTTCAGAATTCACACCATCTGTAGACCATCTCCTCTGTTTCGGATACAATCTCTGTTTATCAATATTGAAAATGCCGAACATGATATACAGTGACATTAAGGTGTTCTGACACCAAGTGAAAGTGCTTGTTGCCGAACTTAAAATATTGTGTGTTTTTTGCTTTGTGCTTGAAACCTGCAATTGTGTTTTTCTACTTTTTTTTTTCATATTTATATATTTGTGCATCAAAAAGGAGACCTGCATGGTTGTTTTGGGGCACGTAAAACAAAATAAATAAAATAAATAAGAAGAGAACGATTCCCAGACTAATGGCAGCAGACCTTTTGCTGTGTGTCTACCCGCCCTCTTTCTGTTGCCTTTCTGAATGCGGGATTCCTCCTATCAACGGGCTCGTCCTGACTTCAAAATTTAATGACTCGTGAAATTCTTTACTGACCCTAAAGGGGTTATGCAAGGATATTCGACTGGAAAGCTTTTCCCTTTACACGAGCTTACTGGCACTAGTGGAACCAAGTATACTCGCACGGAACACCATTAGCCAAGAAACCTTTTGTTGCGGTATAGTTTCAAGGATAAAAGCGAGAGTTCTCTTTCAATCTCAACTTCGCAGAACTTAATGACGTAGTTTGGAGGTCGCAGGGTCCCCCAGTGACTATATTTGAATGTGGCTCATATATTGGACCTGAGCATTGCGGGAGCATTCGACTTGGGCTCGCGATAATGAAGAGCTCGACAAGCATTCCGGTAGTCGCTCGTGCCAGATCGCTTCAGCGGCGACAACAGCCGAACCCTGGCCATATCTGGAACTCAGAGCGTGTCCTGTGCTCTGCCAACCCCAGCGCATGGCGAAGGAAAACGTAGGCGACATATAATCGGCTCGAGGTCACGTGGCCGGTTGTTCTAACTTCAAGATAAAAAAAAAAAATCGCTGATCGTTTTTTTTTGTTTTTTTTTTTAAGATGTTTATTTTGTGAGGAGAAAAAACTAACGCGTGTTTCATATGTTATAAACATCCGGGATTCATTACTGGGAACAAGGTAGAGGGGTTTAGAGTAATAAACTGGTATCCCGTTCACCAGGCAAAGGTGATCCCCCCCCCCCCCCCCCCCTTGGCTGCCGCCACGTTGTACAATTTTTACCACTAGACACGTGACCGTACCAAATCCTGAGGCTTTTACGCAAAACTGA